TGTCCACCAGAAAGAGTTTCCTTGTATAAAAGTCCTCTTTCTGCAACAAACCTGGATCAATTAGAAGAGCTGAGTGGTGGAAGGTTGCTCCGGGCCGCCGTCCAAGCTCTCTGGAGGCTTTCATCTACTTCCTGTTCGGTCTGGAACTGTTCCCTTGATGCTGGAGACATCAGTTCCTCATTGGATTGTGGACCTAGGCTTGGTCCCTCTGGAAGCGATGTAGGGGATGGGGCTGTTTCCGTTGACTGTGAACCGCTCTCCGCTGGTGCACTATGTTGGGGTTCAGGCTCCAGCTGAGCCTCTTGTGTAGGGTTATCGGCTGCTGCTGGTTCAGTTTCGGTGGGGCCCTCTGGTGTTGGGGTTGCAAGTACTGGATTCAGTTCTGGCAATGGGTCTGGTGCTAGTTGTTCTGCCGGTTTCGGTTCTGGCTCTGTCTGGGTCTCTGGGATTGGATCCACTACTGCTGTTGCAGACACTGGCCTGGTGTCCGGGTCCATCACCTCTGACCGGGTCCTGGTAGAAGTTTCCAGAACAGAGCTAGGCGTGACGGCTTATTTAGCCTGGCTGCGGGTGACCATTCCCACCCTCTTGGCTCACTTCACATGATTGACCAAGTCTTCCCTCAACAGCATGGGGATGGGATAATCATCATAGACTGCAAAGTCCACGTTCCTGACCAGCCCTTGTACTGGACAGGCAACTTGGCTGTAGGCAAATTGAAAGAGTTGGACTTGAAGGGTTGAATTGTCACTTGGATCTCTGGGTCAATTAAATTGGGATCCACTAAGGAAGCATGGATAGCCAACACTTGTGCTCCAGTGTCCCTCCACATGGTGACCTTCTTCCCACCCACACTCACAGTTTCCCTCCGCTCTGAGGGTATCTGGGAGGTATCTGGGCCTGAGGACCTCTGGTGTGATTCTGGTGCAAAGAACTGTAATCTTTTGGGGTTCTTGGGGCAGTTGGCCTTTACATGCCCCGGCTCGTTACATTTAAAACATCGTCCAGATGACGGGTCACTGGGGCGAGGGGGGTTGCTGGAGAACGGTGTGGTGGGACGATAAGGTGGCTGGAGGGTTCCTTGGCGGGTAGGTGGGGCCTTGGGCTGCACCTGGTAGTAGGGTGTGGTCTGAGGTTGCCCCTTCTGGTATCTGCTCCAACTGTGACCAGTTTTTTTCTTTTCTGCCACCTCCACCCATTTGGCTCCAATCTCCCCCACCTCGATTACAGTTTTGGGCTTCCCATCTAGGATGTATCTTTCTATTTCCTCAGGAACACCCTCTAAGAACTGCTCCATTTGCATTAGGAAGGGCAAATCTTCTGGAGATTTAACACTTGCTCCTGATATCCGGGCATCCCCACGTTTCACAATGTGGTAGGCATGTCAGGTAAATGACACGTCTGTTTTCCACCTTAAGGCTCTGAACCGCCGACGGGAATGCTCGGGTGTTAGCCCCATTCTGACTCTCACCTTGGTTTTAAACAGTTCATACTGGTTTGTGTGTTCCTTAGGCATTTCAGCCGCCACCTCAGCTAAGGGTCCACTGAGCTGCGGCCTCAGCTCTACCATCTATTGGTCTGTAGAGATGCTGTACTCAAGGCAGGCCCTTTCGAAGTTTTCTAAGAAGGCCTCGGTATCATCAGCTGCCTTGTAGGTGGAGAACTTTCTGGGATGGGAAGTGGTACCTGGAGAAGGATTGCTAGGGTTTGTTGGTATATTCTGCTGAGCCTTTGCCCTCTCCATCTCCAGTGCATGTTTCCTCTCTCTTTCCTTCTCCTCCTCCACATGCTCCCTCTCTCTTTCCTTCTCCTCCATTTCTTTGGCCCTTGCCTCCATTCCCATCCGCATGAGATCTATCTGTCTTTCATGTTCCTTTTGTTTTTCCTCAGCCTCAAATCTGGCTAATTCCAGCTTTTGTTGAAACGTGGAGTCTGTCATCCTAACCTCTCTGTTTTTAACTAACTTTACACCCAAGAGTTAGAAATAAAACAAACAAACAAACAAAAAAGCTTGGCTTGTAATATTTTGCTGTGCTGTAATATGATACCTATATTCTGATAGTGATTGTCAGCCTACAGAAAAATCCAACCCCCCTCCCCAAAACAAAAACAAAAAACCAAAAAAAAACCCCAAAACCCCTAACACCTTTGTCTCCAGGCAAATAGGCAGAAAAACCCTCTAGTTGCTCTTAGGTAAAAAAAAAACTTCTTCTAGTCTGTGAAGACTGGTGAATTTCCCTGCAGGAGGTTAACTACCCTGCCTTTAGGTAGAGAACACTCCAGCTCACAAAAGACAATTCCCTTTTGTCTCCACTCTGGCCCCAAAGCAGAGAAAAAAAAAACCTCTAACTGCTTTCAGCCAAAAACCTGCTTTTCAGCAGCCCAAAGGGAAAAAAAAATCCTTTTCCAATCTGTGCTTCTGGTTTAAAAAAATCTCAAATTGATCTCAAAATGATTTCAAGTTAATCCCACCGCTCTGCCACCATGTCAAGGTTCCTTCCCCACTCTGAACTCTAGGGTACAGATGTGGGGACCTGCATGAAAACATCCTAAGCTTACTTTTACCAGCTTAGGTTAAAACTTCCCCAAGTTACAAACTATTTTACCTTTTGCCCTTGGACTTTATTGCTGTCACCACCAAATGTCTAACCGGTATTATTATTATTAGGAAAGAGTCCGTTTGGAAACGTCTTTCCCCTCAAAATCCTCCAAAATCTTACACCCCCTTTCCTGGGGAAGGTTTGATAAAAATCCTCACCAATTTGCACAGGTGAACACAGACCCAAACCTTTGGATCTTAAGAACAATGAAAAAGCATTCAGTTTCTTAAAAGAAGAATTTTAATAGAAGAAAAAATAAAAAGAATCACCTCTGTAAAATCAGGATGGTAAATACCTTACAGGGTAATTAGATTCAAAACATAGAGAATCCCTCTAGGCAAAACCTTAAGTTACAAAAAGACACAAAAACAGGAATATACATTCCATTCAGCACAGCTTATTTTCTCAGCCATTTAAAGAAAACAGAATCTAACCCATCTCCAGCTAGATTACTTACTAAGTTCTAAGACTCCATTCCTGTTCTGTCCCCGGCGAAAGCATCACACAGACCAGAGAGAGAGGCTTTGTTTCTCCCTCCCCCAGCTTTTGAAAGTATCTTGTCTCCTCATTGGTCATTTTGGTCAGATGCCAGAGAGGTTATCCTAGCTTCTTAACCCCTTACAGGTGAAAGGGTTTTTCCTCTGGCCAGGACAGATTTTAAAGGTGTTTACCCTTCCCTTTATATTTATGACATAGACCGTCTGACTAAAATGGCCTATTTCATCCCCTGCAACCATCTTTCCTTTGCTGAGAATACTGCCCAACTCCTGATGCAAATCATAGTTCATCTTCACAGACTTCCAGACCACATAGTTTCAGACCAAGGCCCACAGTTTACCTCTTGCTTCTGGTGCGTAGTGCTCTGGTTACTGGATGTCTGCATAGTTATCTCCCCATGCACCATCCCCAAACAGATGGGCAAACTGAAAGGGTGAACCAAGTACTAGAATACTTTAGATGTTTCATGAACTATCACCGGGATAACTGCTCCATGCTTCTGCCGTATGCAGAGTTTTCATATAACACTGCCAACCCAGGCCTCTTCAGGTTAGAGCCTCTTCTTCTCAAATTATAGGTTGCCACATTCAGCTGGCATTACCAGCAGCCTCCCTGATCCCTGCTGCCACTAATTAGGTCCAACAGATTCATCTTATCCAGAAGGAGCTCAAGAACCAGCTAGTGGTGAAGAAGGTTTACAGGAGGCATGCACACTTTTTGACAACAGGGAACTCTGGCATTCACAGTAGGCCAGAAGGTGTGGCTTGCTGCAAAAAATCTCCCGACCAGTCAACCTTCCCGAAAACTGGACCACCAGTTCCTGGGACCCTTCCAGATATGACAACAGATCAACTTGGTTACCTTTATACTACAGCTTCTCCAGTCCCCCAAAATACATGCAGTTTTTTATATTTCCGTTTTGAAGCCCTGTACTAATAATCTCTTCCCCAATCAAACCACACCACCACCACCAGTCAAAATCCAGGGTCACGAGTAGTTCAAAGTGCATGCCATCCTCGATGTCCAATAGACATGTGGACACCTGTACTATCTTGTGGACTGGGAAGATAATGGTCCCAAAAAGCACACCTGAGAATGTGCTTCCCTTGTCCATGCTCTAGGTGAGGGAGTTCCAAAGGACTCACCCCAACAAGTCTGGACCAGCACCACTCTGAGGGGGAGCCTGAAGGGCGGGTGATATAAGCACCTGTGGGACTAGAACTTGAGACCATGGAGGTTCCAGGATGCTAACGCTTTCACATTGCCACCAGGAGCTCAGACTGGGCTTTGTGAGGGAACCCTGTGAATCTAGACACTTCAGGAAGTACCATCCAGTGGGGCCTGGATGGCAGCCCTCTGATTGGCCTATGCCAGTGTATAAACCAGGAAGCCATCACAGGGAGCTGTGTGAGCAATGATGCAGACCACCTGCTTGCTTCCGCTCCAGGCCTTGCCTTATTGTGAACCTTAGGCTCCATCTCTTGACTCATCCCCAACTTCACTACTTTCCTCCTCTCTGTAACTGGTGTCTAATCCTGACTTCCTGATATCCTGACCTGGCACAGCACCGACTCCACTACTTGTCTCTTGACGCCAACTTGGTAACTAAACCTGTCCATGGCCTGGACCAGACACTTTGCTCCAACTTAGCACTCCTTGTAGATTTGTCAGTTTAGGAACATCTTTGTTTCCAGGGGAGTATTAGCCTCTTAAAGCCAATAGATTTAGAGAAATACAGTTCACCCTGCCTGAGCTGAAATCACTGAAGTCCTTTCCAACTGCACCTCTCTTTTTTTCTTAAAATTAAGTGGATAATGATGCCATAGTAAAATATAAGGAGTTATCATAAAACTAGCTATTTAATTACTAGTTTCCTACTAGTAATAAAATCAAAATCCAAACCTGGGCATCTTCAAAAGTGTATCTCCCTGGATCTTGGACGTTTTGACTTGTTCTCTCATAGCTGTGAGAATCCAGGTTGATAGGGCTTTGTGCCCCTGGAGATAGAAACTCTTGCCAGATTTCCTCCACTCTGGTGGCGACATCCTGCAAAGATTGTCTTTTGAGATCTTGGACAGCCAACCAAAACCTTTTATGGGAAGTAACAAAAGAAAAGAAAAAACTCAGAAATAACTTTGTGGATCAACCCTAGCAGAATCCTGAACCAGTGGGGCCTGGTCCTACACCTACTGGAGTCAACGGCAGAGTATCCATTTATGTACTTGACTTGGAGAGGTCCAACATGCTCTACACCAATCCACTAAAACATTATGAGGGGCAGAAAAGTAACTCTAGAATGTCTCACATTCAAAATGTGCCACTTCCCTGCATGTCTGACTGTATGCATACAAACTGCCTGTCATTCCTATAAGCTCTGCAGGGTCCATACAGCTACAGGAGAATGGATAGCCAATAACCAGAGTTTCAGAGAAAGGCCAAAGAATATATCTTGGTGAGCTTGGGCCATCACATGACACTGTAAAGGAATAATATTCCTTGCCCAACTCTCTAGCCAGTAGCAGGCCTTTCCTACACACCTGGACTTCTAACATGAGTGAGGTGAGTTTGCACCATTTTCTCTCTTGTTATGATCAGTGTCATAAAAATAGATTTGTCTCCTGCTCCTCCTTGTTGCTACAAACTCTCTCACCAGACTGAAGTACTTAATCCATCCGTGAAATCTGTGAGAGACAGCAGTGGGCTGTGCTACTTTGACCTTTTAAAGCCTCCTGCAGCTTGATTGGCTGGCCATTCATGGTCTCCTCCTCTACAGCCCTAGCAACCAGCAAGAAAGAGTAGAGGCAACCAGCCAACTGAAATGAAGAACACTTCAAAGATCAACAATTTTGTGGGCCCACAATCAGCATCAACAGTTTATATGGATCATTACAATGAATATTTTTCATTCTCAAGGCAAATGATACTAGCTCATCGCTTAACCCATCTTCATTACAGCCTTAAGTGCAGTCTGGTGTAGTCCTCTTTGGACATTATAATGGAGGACAGATACTGTATAATGTGCAGGGTCAAACTGTATTTATAAAGCAGGTCTGTGAAAGGCCTCAATCCTTAATCTGTAAAAACTTTCTTCTCAGGTTCTGACTACAGGGGGACAGGGAATGAGGGAAAGTGTGTCATTTCATGGCTAAGACATGTAAAGTAAACAAGAAACCCTTAGCAAAAAGGGAAGAGGGCAAAGCCGCATGGTCACTGTGCTCAGTGGTTGCATAACACTAAAGGGATCACAGCTTCCTGGAAAAGGAGCATAGCCCAAGTAGTCTCCGTCCAAACAGCACACATTGGTCACAGTTGCAAGCAAGTGCATACGGGGCCAGATTTCCAATTAGGCACAGTAGGCACATGCCTAGGGGTGCCTTACCGCTCTAAAACTGTGTGCAACGCAAAGGTCAGCCGTAGGCGGGGAAGGCACTGAAGATGCTGTGCCTAGAGGAGCATAAGGTGTAAATCTGGCCCTGAGTGCATTATGTAAACGTATGCAGGAAGTGGCACCCACACCAAGGCACTTGGGAGTGTAGCAACAGAGAGGAGCCAGGGCTGAAATAAATAAATAGAAGGTCTGCTGGGTAACGTTCAGCAGACACTGAGCAGGAAGTTATAGGCATGAATTGCCATAGACAAAGGAAGGGCAGAGACAAGCCAACAACAGCATCAGCTTTCTCCTTCTGTCCTTGTCCTGGAGCCTGTCTAGGCATGACTCATTATCCTGAACTAATTCACATGAAGTGACTAGTTGTCCTACTTCATGACTATTTGCTGGGGCGTTTGCAGAACTTTGGTGCACACGGGGCCTAATTCTGTAACCCTGACTTACAATGAGTAATGCTTATAGAGATTTTTTTATATATAGTTGCTATTCTCTCACTCTACAGTATGCTGGCAGTGAAATGCACTGGGACTGCACCAAGGCCATTTAGTCAATGTTCTCTAAGTTGGATTTCAGCAGTCAGTTTTATAAAATAGGGAGACATTTTTATTTTGGGTTGGCTGTGGTGTCCTATGTTTCCTTATTTCCTCTATCTTATTTTAAGACGTCCACTTAATTTGTAAGGGTGTCATGTCTATAGCCTATCTTTCCTCCTTAATGTTAAATGAGACTGCAGAAAGCTGCACAAAAGGGAGTGTATCTGGGGTATGGAGCTGCAGGAAGGTGGTGTGCTAGGGGTAGGATGGAGCACTGATGCAGCAATTCCTAAGAGAGACTGCAGGAGCTGGTGTAACTTAGAGCAGCCTTTAGGCTGCTGAACTGACCCCTGGCTGGAGAAGCTACCTTCCTACAGCCTCATCTCTTCAGCTGAGGGTCTGGTCCTATATTTATAAACTTTATACTTCCTTCCCTGTATTGTCTTTCCCTAGCCTCCACCTGGAAGCTGCTCTCATTTCTGCATTTTAGCTCCGTGGGCAGGAAATGTGCCTTTTTTTACTTGTTTGTGAGGCACCTAGCATGCTCGGGAGCACTTACAAATAAATAAGTAAATGCTCCCTCCAGTGCACAACCTGGGTGTAATGCGTGGGTATATTGTAGGATGAGAGTACAGAAAGGAGCAGGATTTTGATCCCGGTCTCCTGAATGGTTATGTACAATTTGCTACCCAGGCAAACGTGACATAAAAATTATTCTCACTGCTGAAGCACACAGTTTTCTCTGTGCCCACAGTAAGTTCAGAAATAGAGTTTTTGTGCCCTCTGGTGGCCAAGAGAAGATTAGAGAAATGAATGTTGAATGTGAAGGCATTTTAACTTCAGTAAAGTTTCAGATTTTCATTCCATCATTTGCAGTAAAGAGTGTAACCATCCCAGTAATAAATCTAACTGAAACTCATAGTATAACTCAGACATCAGCATTGTCTTCTGTTCAGCCCTTCTGTAAATTCACCATAATATGATTGCATTTTGGTGCAAATACTATGGCTGGTCAAAAATTTCTCATATAAACATTTTATTCAATGGAAAATTGGGTTTTCAATTAATTTCCACCCTCCCCCCCCATTTTTGATGTTTCATCAGAAAACCAAAAATCAATACTTTCAGTTTTTGGTCAAAAATTTTGGTTTTCTATTAGTAGTCAACATTTTCCATCGGAAAAAGCATTTTGCAACTAGCTCTGCCTTCAGCACTTGGTTTTCCAGAGTTAGCCCATCCCATCAACACACAGAAACACCTGCTTTAGTGTGCTGCACACTTTGCATTTCTATTCTACTCAGATTTTTATATCATGCTCATCACCGTAGTATCTAAGTGCCTTTGGGCATTGTATACAAAGGATGGATGTGCTGTCTACTTAGGTCTGTGGTCAGGGGTACAATTTCCCTTCCCCTTGGATAAGCTGATCTCTCCCATTGTCCCTTTTAGCTTTCTTTCCAACTGACACTCTTTGAAGCTGGGAAAAATCTTCTGACTGGAGGACTGAACATCTCAGCAATCTGCTATACTTCTTTGAGCTCCAAAAAACCAAGAAAAGCAAATCAAATTGCAGATCAAAGATAGTGACAGAAAGGTGAAAGAAAAGAGTGAGAGAAAGAAGAGTGAAATCAACAGTGAGAAAAAGGATGGACTTTCCTGCTCTAACATAAATAACAGCCAGTAAATAAATAAGTTATAGAGTTCAACCAAACCCAGGAGTGCGTGAGCCCGATCCTGCAGTTCTTACATGGGCAGTTTCACTGAAGTCTCACTCAAAGGACCAATTTTGCTCTCCATTACAGAGGAGTGCTGTAGCCCCACTGAAGTCAGTGTAGTGAATCTGGATTTACACCAGTGTAGCTGAGAGCTGACTTTGGTCCAATTTGCTCCTTTCCTATCCATCGACACAGTTAACCTCATCCAGATTCTCATCATCTTGTATCTCGATTACTGCAACATCCTTTTTTTTTTTTTGGCTTGGAAAATGCAGTCTTGCCCCTCCTCATATCCATTCAGAATGCTGCTGCAAAGATCATTTTCCTAGCCTGTCACTTTGACCGTGTCACCCCTCTCTTTGCATCCCTCCACTGGCTCCCTCTTCTCTATCACATCAAATATAAGCTCATTGTCTTTACTGTCACAGAACTTCACAAGTTATCCCCACCCTACATATAATTTCTCATTCAGTTTAAAATAGTTGACTCCCAGTTCCAATCAGCCTGTGATGTCTGTCTCAATTGCCCACTTATTACATTTTCAAACACCTTGTTCTTTTTTCTATGCTGCCCTTCATGCTTGCAAGGATCTCTCTGAAAACATATAGAAAACTAACTCATTATCCTCTTTCAAATCTCTCCTTAACTGTGCTACGTGGCTTGCTTACATAAAACTGGACAATGGTTAGACTGCTGCTGTACAGAGACCACTGCCAATCATGCTCACCAGTACTGACATTGTTTCCTGATACTCCCCATCAGTTTTTCTATATCCCTCTTTTGTCTTATACTTAGATTATGAGCTATTTGGGGCAGGGATTGTCTTTTTATTCCGTGTTTTTAGAGCATCTAGCAGAATGGTGTCTTGGTACATGACAGGGGCTCCTAGGCATTATGATAATAATGAAATGTAAAAACATTTCAAGGAACTAAATCAGCCAGCCCAGTGCACATTGCAGGAAACCTCTTTGGTTGCACTCCTGGTAACTTCTGAGTTTTCCAGTTTTCACCCATTTGTATCTGTCTTGTTGGCCACTCAGTAACATATGGGTCTATTCTCCCCTTGATGTGTGCATGTAACTCCTATCAACATTAATGAGGGTTGCATTCATGCCCTAATGAAAGAATATGGCTCATTGTGATCACCTCACACATCTACTGATATCTGTTGGTTGCAGTGTCTTTAAAGAATGGTTGCAGATGGGAATTTTCTAGCAAGCGTGGAGCATTAAATAATCGTTCATCCTAAAGAAATTACCTACAACTTCTCAGACATTCATTAGTAAGTACAAGTATAAATTTTGCTTGATTGTGTCTAGCACTGGCCTTCCCTCTGTCCCTCCATACAATTCCACACCTCTGTTGGTGCAAAGCCTTCTACAATCCAAGATGTTTCTATTTTCTCTTGTGAATAGGTCTTCATTTTTCTCTCCTTGTGTTAGTTATTATCTAAGGCCTCAGTCAGCATGAGGATCTGCTAATATGGAACCCTGTGTTTGTGTGGAGTCCCACTGGAGTTAAGGATCTGTGTTAGTGGATTGCCAGGCAGGGTCAGGGCCTATCCTGTAAACTGTTGTTTAACTCCATTGGGCTTTGGGATAGTTTGCGTGAAAGGCCTCCTTCCCTTTTGCACGTACGTAGGCTTTACCTCAAGGTTAAAGAGAATACATATCGGCATCGGGAGTGGCTAGCGGTGACACAGAAAGGTAACAACTTGATTTCTAATTATGATACCCTTGGGATTCATTAGAGTAGGATGAGTGCATGCACACCTGCCAGAGGCAAACCTTTTGCCCTTCATTAGTCCAAGCATGAATGCATTTCACAGAGGGAATCTGAGGAACACACCATATTTAAATGGCAAAGATCTAACCAGTGTTTCATAATGGCAGATTAATTGCCAGAACAAGAACACAAATGTACATAAGTGCAATGAAGATGTAGAAGTTCAAGAGCCACTTAAAGGGGCTTGGTAAGGTTAAAGACCATTTAAAAATATTGCCTTGCTTGTGTTACAAATAACTTTTTAGATCAGTAAAAGTAAAAAAAAATGAAAATTGTATTTTTTTAAAACTTTTTATGCCGTTCATTTACTTTTTAGATTTCTCATTTGACTCAGTTTCCCTATAGTTTAAAACAATTTTCCAGTGAATTTCACTTTTCTCATGCACTAACTCAGTGCTCTAATGTCTGCATTGTTCACCAAGTTCATTCATATTTCATTCTTAAAGTTAAAATAATTACACAAATTTAGAGCCAGTGAAAGACACTGGGTTAGATTCTCAGGTGGTGTGAAGTGGAGTCACTCCATTGATTTCAGGAACCACATTAATTTACACCTGATGAGAATTGGGCCCTATTTAATCCTCTTTATATCCTCAGAACAGATATTGTGCTGGCAGCAGAAATGCAAGCTGCCCAATATTGCCCTGCCAAAGTGTTCTAACTCTCCTCTAGAGGGACTGCTTCTTAGGGAGTAAGGGTGATTCAATCTCTGTGCCCGCTCAGCTGTTGGCCGCTATACTGAGATTGCCAACAAGAATAACATTTGATAGCCACTGTGATGATGTAATTTGGAATGTGCACGTCTTGTCTATTTTTACTGGACTCCACAAGAACTGCAGCATTTAACATTCATTTCCTTATTCCTGAAGCTTTAGAAACACAAAATTAAGCCATAGAAACATATGGGAATTTGAAGCCACCTTTAATCTTCAAATGAAGCTATATTCTCACCGCAACTCTTACCCTTACCTTCCTGTGCTAAGGTATTGCACTTCAGCTGGTAAATGAGGTCACCACCCACTTTCTGCAGCCCCTGACCCAGGGAATTTCAGCTTTAATTTCCTGACTTTTAGTCTCTAAAAGCCATTTTTACATACCTTATTTTTTGTGGCTTAAATTTCCCATTATGCAGTGGTGTTAACTATAAAGAAGATACTGTAGGGAAATCTATCGGGATTTTGCATATTCAAGGACTGCATGACTTGGCTCTGTATTAGAAATATTACACAGAACATAAACCATCCTTTCAATTAGTTTCTGGACTGCATCCCTCCCATGGACTGTGTTTCCATTATGCATACCCATGGGGAACTCTTTAATGAGATTAAAAATTGTTGACAATTGTATAGTTTGATTCTCATTAAAGAATAGGTTTTGTTTCTGCTATTCTTGATGAAAATTATTGACTCATAGTGCATTGTGAGGAGTTTGTCACATCACATTTCATGTTCTCTGAATTATTTAATCTATTTAAATTAAGGAAAGTTAAGGAATTTATTTTGCTAAAATCCCAGTAAACTATGATATCCCTTTTCAGCCTGTCCATTCCTCTGATTTCAGATATGTATAAGGCAGGTGTAAACATGGACTCTCCCTTTTCTAACTGCCCTAGTTTTCTCTTCCCTGCTGGATTCATTTGGTGATGCCACAATTCCAGATGTGGTCAACCAAACTCAGTTTAACTTCAGGTGCTTGCTGTAGGCACAAAGCATGGTGAATTTGATCCTGAACTTCATCAGAAATAAAGACAAATCAGGACACAATATCACTGCTTCACACCACTATGCAACCTTAATTTGACCCCCTTTTTTGGATGCATTATGATATTCTCTAATTACATCATCACATACTACTTCTTCTGTAGAACCCCCGCACTGCTTATTGTATATGAACCCATATGTATGTTCTGATTCATCACAATGTTCAACCTTTGCAAGCTGCAGGTTTATTATTGACACACTGACAGACCCTTGGCAAAGGTGGCTTTGGTCATGATTATCTACATCTTTTCATAAATGCACCACTTGTATAAACGTCTATTAAATTTACAGTGCATATGCTGTGGGCCAAATCCTGTAACTCTCACTCAGTCTTTACTCCTATTGACTTCAATGAGCGGTTTTGCCTGAGTAAGGATTTCAGGATTTGGCCCAGTACATGAGTGTGAACCTGTGCATACAGCTCAAGTGGAGGGGTTTTACCTGAGGTTTTCTGAACTGAATTCGGACTCCAGAAAACGAAGGAACAGGTCTCGCCCCACTGGATCCTTCAGCACCTCATCTATAGAGAAGCCCCATCTTTTCACACGCTGTTGGCTGGGCTCTTTGCTGTTAAGGTGAGGGAGAGGAAAGGTAAGAGTGAATGCATGTCCATCTGTGGTCCAAAAAGCCTGAATGTCAATTGACTCTATTCAACATCAAAGGGAAAAAGGATGACTAATCAAAGGGTGAGGCTTCTCTAGTAACTCACACAAATGGAGGCCATCATGCACCATATGCAAAGAAGAACTGAAGACTAGGGCACCCACTCCTCTGAAAATCTGGCCTTTTTAAGGTGTCTTAAATTGCATATCCAAAAATGGAAGCACATAAAATCACTAGTCACCTTTGAAAATCTTGTCCTAAATACTTCCCTAATATTATTGTTCCATGGAACAGTAATTTCTATAGTTACATCAGGGATATGGTATATTTGCAAATGGGAGAAGGTGGTGTCTGCTATTGCAAATTAGAAGAGAGGTTTCCAGGAGAACAGCAATGCATTAAAATGTGGCCCACACTATGAAAAAGCTCGAGGAGTCTCTGATTAAGAGTGACATGACGTTAGGTAACAAATAAGAGACATCCATTAAAATACAACACGGTTGCTCAGAGTAGTAGTACTAGAATCTCGGTCTCCTTAAGACAAGTGCAATGCCTAGCGAGCGACATGCTTTTCTGTTTCACAGATTACAGATGAGGCCTGGTCACGAAAGATTCCTAAAATCAGAGACTCTAATCGATAGTGGGGGTCCCTGCAAAAAGGACAAAGGGGGCCAGGATGCAGGAGTTTACATTAGTGTGCCTGCTTTTAATTTTCCTTTGGTGTAAAGATTAAACAAAGGTAAAATAAATGTCACTGGGGGGATGGAGTCTTTTAAAGTCTTCAGAGTAGCAGCCGTGTTAGTATTAGGGCATGGAGTGAAATGGGATTTGATATGACCTCCACCTGACAGCCCAATCTGTATCCAAAATTTAATTACTTTACAGTTGCATTTCCCAAAGTGTGGGGTTCCAGGAAGGACTAGCTGCAGGGTCACAGTAGCTGTATAAATTAAGATGGGTAGGCCTTTGCCAACACATGGTGGGTTTGAAATAGTTGTGAATTGTTTCGTTTTCCTGAAAAAGGGGTGGCGGGGAGTCTCAGCTTTCAAAATTATTCAAACAAGTTGCAACTAGATGCAGATGCAGCTAATGTTCTTGCAGTAGAGAATAAAATGGACCTATCGAGCTATTGTTCTCCCAGAAAAAACGTCTTCTCATTTTCATCACCAGGAGTATCATCTCCATTAACCTGACCTGAGACCCTAGAGGTGGTGAGGCATTTCTTTTACACTCATATGCAGCCCTGATACCAGGTTTAAATCATAGTTCTCAGGAGCACAAAAGTCTTTCAGGAAACACCACACTGGCCACTTGGGGAGATACAGTTATAATATAGGTTTAGATATCAGGGTACCAGCACTCTGTTAACATCAGAGGGCCATTTTGCTGCAGTTATGGCTGTTTATTTGATACAAAACTAGTTAAAGAGATTAAAATTGCATCAGGGTCTTGCAGGGGAAGCAAAAACGAAAAGTGAAACAGATTAAAAATAAGTCCAGGGTATCATAAAATAAAAGATAAGGGAAGTAGGGATTAAGAAATGGATCACAGATTCCTGTGTGCAATGGAGGGAAAGTGTGGAGGTACCTTTCACAATTGAGGGAAACACACAAATCCATTTGCTCTGTCCTTGGATTTCTTTTAGGACAGGATTTGATGTCTGGCTGCTGAGTCTGCTACTCCCCACAGGCAACCATGTGCCTGGAGACGATGATTCAGCATGGACTGGCCCTCTAGAGGCAGACCCAGTATTTTGATTTTGAGTTTTTTTACCTCCAAGTTCCAAAGAGCAGGTTTTACCTTAGGTTTCCATCTCATAGTCAGGCATGAACATGATTGGAGCAAATTTGTAGCTCCCTTTTGAAATATTTGACTATTTTAATATCACACCCAGGTTGTATTTGGTCATGAGTAGGAATGCCAATTAAATATTCACACAGTAAGAGCAAAGGATTGAGAGAAGTGGACGCTGCCTAATCACCATGGTGCCTGAACTGAGGTCTAGCAATGTGACCGATGGGTATATGTGAATGAGCTGGGGAGCCAGGACCCAAATACTCTGAGCTGCACTCAGAGCTGCTCTTGCAACTGCTGGACATACACTCAGGCATGATGATTCTAATCCCAAGTGCTACTGTCATTGTGATCCGAGTAAATAAAGACACTGGGTTTAAACTTTATTCTGCCTTATATCTTGGGTAGTCATTCACACCTGTGCAAAGTGGGTATACAATATGACCATTCCGGTTTAGCAAAACTGCACACCCATTTTTCAAGGGTGTAAATAAAATAACCACACAAGGTGCATGGCACTGGAGAATCACCACTACATTCTTTCTTTTACCTTTTCACGCATAGAAGAGCAAAACAAACAAGAAAGTCCCAGACCTCTCTGTGGCCATCTAATATAACTTATGAAAAGAAAAAAATAGCATGAGCCCTTATTTCTTGCAAGCATGCGTCGCTTCTGAACTTACACGCGTATACAACCTACTGTCTATATGGGGCAATGGGGGAGTGCAATACAAACAAAATGAAAGGATTGCTTTAAGGTTATTCATAGTTCTATGGAATTTCAATTTCTTACCTCATTTCTATGTCCCATAAAGTAGCGTCATCGCTTATCCAGGGATTGGAAGGTTCAGCAGGTGTTATAAATGGATCATATTCAATGTACTGGTCTGAGTACGTTATTAAACTAGGACAGGGGAAAAAAGAAAAGAACAGCTGTGGCCTACATGCTTACATGTGAATTGACAAACTACCATTTTTCAACAATTTTCTTTTTAGTTTTACATATTGGTCAAATTTTCCAACAAGCACCTTGATGCTTTGCCCCATGCCACCTCTTATGCATGGAAGTTGCTCTCCAGAAAATTTCACAAAGCCACTGCATTGTCCTCTTTAAAACTCACGTCTGCTGTGGTGCGTATAGAAAAACCCGATAATGGTTAGGCAGCTGGTGTGATATGGCCAGGGCTTTTCACAGTGATCATGTTGTTACCATGTGATCCCCAGTCAGTTGTATCCACTTGTTGTCTTGTCTTGTACCAAGGCCTCAATCCTGCAAAGACTTCTGCACATGATTACCTTTATGCTCGTTGAGTAGTTTTATTGATTTAAATGGTATTATGCACCGTGCATAAAGTTACGCACGGGAGTGGGGGAGACTTTTTCAGGATCAGAGCTTGACTGTAAACTCTTCAGGGCATGAGCCATCTTTTAGTCATGTTTGTGCAGTGGCTAGCACAATGGAGCGGCAACCTCTACATGCTACTGCAATACAATAAATAATAGTTGCATCTTTTAATAATCTACGTTTCAAAAAATTTAAAAAATGGTGTACATGTTGGTAAAGCTCCATAAATTAATTTGCAAGGAGCTCAGCATCATGCTGTGCTTTTGAGCAGGGAAGTTTTTGAGCTGTGCTTATACTAGAGCTAAGTAAATAATTCACAATAAGTTATTCAGCTAATTATGTTCCTTTTTCTTCTCACAGAATATCCACCAGCAGATTGCAATTCCCTCAAGTATTACCTGAAATGATGTGATTAATATTTTGTTGAGTATTTTGTTTTTATTGCAAATATTTGATATATATGCCATGTTGCTTACTTGTGACTGGTTAGATATGGCACATATTATAGTTTCTATTCCTTGATTGAATAAGTGTGAAAGCACTTGCCAGGTAAATATCTGAGGGTGCAGATTTAAAAAGTGGTTTCCACAAATACTTTCAGAAACAACTTGGGAATTCCTCTTGTGGGAACATGTTTGTGAGTAGAACTAGATCAATCAAATATTTGCAATGGGGGCGGGACGGGAATCCACAACACGAAGATGAACATAGCTAAAGGAAATTTGTTTAAACACAGACACTGAATAGTCATGGACAATTTTTAATTTTTTTATTTGTGTCACAAAAACCAGAAAGTTGCTCTGACCTACCCTACTCACCACCCCTCCTCTTTTCTGGTCCTAACTGTTGTCAGAAGGCATTAAAATCACACACTTTTGTAAATGTAGTAGGTTCCAATAGACCCTCAGGGCATCCAGTCCCATGATGTCTTATCTCATTTCATTAATTACATTTCACGATTGTTGAGGGTTAGGAGTTGGAGGAGGGAACGGTATCCAATTTCAGAGAGCAACAGCAATCCCGGAGATGGAAATGCGAGAGGAGGTCAAAAAATCAATCAGGTGCACTCTGCTGTGAAAGTTAAATGGCTCCTAATAAAATAATGAGAATGCGTTGCAAGCGTCACAAATAGTAGCAAAAAATAAGTAAAAATTAAATAAAACAACATGGACTAAGTGCCTTTTGCTGATTCAGCCTATCAGCAGCAACTGGATCATTGCTTGTCTAAATGAAGTTATAGGCACAGGCAATCCTAAGGGAAAGAAATGTAAACTAGGGCTTTTGGCCTTTGAAATGATGTAATATAATTCTGACAGAAGATGTAGAGGTTATGCTTCACTGAGGTGTGCAAGAACGGTGTTAGGCATTTCTTACACGCACATTCACAGGGGTACTATTCATGCAGGGGATTTACAACACCCTTGGTATGGTTGACACCCATCTTGAAAGTCACAGGATACTCCTCCATGGTTCTGTTCCAGGTCGCAGGAAATAAGCTTGCCGTTCATTTGAAGAGGCCCAGATTTACTTCAGGAGTCATTACAGTGGAGTGGCACTACATGATGGTGCTGTATCAGTACACATTCATGCAATGTCAGAATGCGAACAAGAAAAGCTCAAACATTGTGGAAAGGAGTGGGTGCAATTTGTGAGGTTAACAGTAACTTCACTCAAGGTACCCAAATCCAAACACAGCAGTGGTGTGTGGGTCAAGTGAAGAAAAAGAATGTGGGGGAAGGAAAGAGAACTCTTTTCACTGAGTATTTCTGGCACATACAGCAACAGAGCAATGTTTGTTCCCTCAGGAATTGCTGTGGTGGCTGGATCACCATAGAATCATGGAAACCTAGGGCCAGAAGGATCCTAGAGAGGTCATCTAGTCATTCTGTCTGAACTGACGTAGGATCATGTACGCCTAGACCACCTCTGACAGGTATTTGTCTAATCTGTTCTTAAAAACCTCCAATGATGGAGATTCCATAACTTCTCTTGGTAACCTATTCCAGTATTTAGCTATCCTTACAGTTAGAGAGTTTTTCCTAACTTCTAACCTACATCCCCCTTGTTGCAGATTAAGTCAGTTACTTCTTGTCCTACCATCAGTGGACATGGAGAACAATTGATTACTGTCTTCTTTATAGCAGCCCTTAATATATTTGAAAACTTATCACATCCCCCACTTCAGTCTTATTTTCTCAAGACTGAACACACACTTTCTTTAACCTTCCCACAAAGGTCAGGGTTTTCTAACCCTTTTATCACCTTTGCTGCTACCCTCCAAACACTCTCCATTTTGTCAATGTCTTTCTTGAAGTGTGGTGCCCAAAACTGAACACAGCACTTCAGTGGAAGCTTCACTATTGTTGAATAGAGCAGAACAATTACCTCCTGTGTCTTACATACAAGACTCCTGTTAATACACCCCAGAATGATATTTGCCATTTTTGCAACTGTTTGACATTATTCATTCAGATTCAATTTATGATCCCACTATTACCCTCTGTGGCCAAGGGACCTTTTGCTGCCAACTGGCAGAGGGCATAATGGGGGCACAAGGATTATAGGAATCCCCTGGGTCTGGCATTTACATTCTAGTTGACCAAAGAGGGTCATTTGGGGTCTGTAATAAAAGCCTGTGTCATTCTGGTCATCAATATAATTATGAAACGTAGGTACTGATACTACATAAGAGTTATGTACTATATACTGAAAATTATGTTCTTAAGGGATGCAACTGTGGGGTTGGTCATCAGGAAAGGTGAAAAGCAGGTTTTTCTCCAGTCAAGTGTTGTTTATCCGTATTTCTGTTTATGTTTACGTGTAAACGGAATATTGTCTGGTTCACATTGGGCAACAATTAGTATTCTAAGTCAAATGCTAATGAAGAGCTGCCGAGGACTTCAGAAGGAAACTATCAGGAAGAAGTAAACAGTGTGGGGGCAAGGGGGGAGGGAGACTATCTTGAGATACGCATCAAAGGTGTGACTGGTATATTTAGCGAGGGAAAGACGATACTTTGGTATCCTTCACTGAGGAAGTAAATGGACAGTGAGTTCGTGTCATAAAAAAGGATCTTTCAGCCAGGCTTGGTTGAAATCACTGGAGAGAACCTTGGATAAGATAAGCTTCTTTAGACAGAAGGACAACCTTTTAGTTAAATTTAGTCTCTAGAAAGTGTGTTATGATTTACTCACTAGCAATCATTTGAATCTCTGTTCTCTGAGAAAGCTTATTCTTGTTTTCATTGTAAGTATATCTAAGTGCCATGTGTTTAGCAGAGCTGTGTTCTAAGGGTAACTAATAAGCTGTGGTTCACTGTTCCTTTGGGAACAGCAAGTCTGGCAGTTCTTTGAGTGTTCAGTGGGTAAAGGGATGGATGCTACAGGGGATGCTCGGAGGACTCAGGTATTAGTATGCCTATCACTAACCCGCACGGAGAAAGTGAGGCTAGCGGAGGCCTGGAAGGCAGTGCTTGTGCTGATTCACAGCAGGCATAGAGATTTCCTCACACTTGGGTTAGGTCGCAGCAAGGTATCTCACAACCCTGGGTACCATTCCACCCCCAGATCCTTTACCCAGTTCCAATGCCTAGCCACTTATTCCCAATTTTTTTATTTGTGCACTTTATTTTTCCTTCCTACGTATAGTACTTTGCACTTGTCTTGATTGAATATCCTCTTAGTGGTTTCAGACCAATTCACCAATTTGCCAAGGTTATTCTGAATTCAAATCCTGTCCTCCAAAGTGCTTGCAACCCCTTACAGTTTGGTGTCATCTGAAAATTTTGTAAGCATACACTCCACCCCATTATTCAAGTCATTAATGAAAAGAATGACTAGTACCAGACTCAGGAGAGACCACTGAAGGTCCCCACTAGATATAGTCTTCCAGTTTGACAGTGAGCCATTGATAATGGGCTATTGATAATGGGATAAGTATGGCTTTTCAACCAGTTTTGCATCCATTTTATAGTAGTTTCTTCTAGACCAAATTTCACTAATTTATGTATGAGAATGTCACATGGGACTATGTCTAAAGCAGTACTAAAATCAAGATATCACATCTACTTCTTTTCCCATCCAGTAGGCAAATAACCCTGTCAAAAAAAAAAAAAAAAGAAAGGTCATCTAGGAGGTCATCTAGCCCAACCCCATGCTCAAAGTAGGACTAACCCCAACTAAATCATCCCAGCCAGGGCTTTGTCAAGCTGGGCCTTAAAAACCTCTAAGAATGGAGATTCCACCACCTCCCTAGGTAAACCATTCTAGTGCTTCACCATCCTCCTAATGAAATAGTTTTTTTCCTAATAGCCAACCTGGACCTCCCCCACTGCAACTTGAGACCATTGCTCCTTGTTCTGTCATCTGCCACCACTTTGAACAACCTAGCTCCATCCTCTTTGGAAGCCCTCTAGAGGTAGTTGAAGACTGCTATCAAATCCTCCCTCACTCTTCTCTTTTGCAGACTAAATAAGCCCAGTTCCCTCAGCCTCTCCTCATAAGTCATGACCCCCAGACCCCTAATCATGTTTGTTGCCCTCCACTGGACTCTCTCCAATT